CGCCCCCACGCGGCGCCGCGCCGCGTCGCCACCACATTACTCTTTGTTCTCGTTCAACAACACAGCGCCAGCGCATGCTAATGCAGCGCTACACAAAAATTCATCCGACAGAATTCCACCCACCTACCTTATAATTAGTGCCTTGTACGATACACATCTTTATTGTCTTCCGCGGGATAGCCTCGCAACACGGGAGGACTTAAGTGAATGTAAGGAGGTAACTACCATTAAACAGATTCACCGGGAAATCATGTCCTTTAATTTGGGAGATACTAATGAAGATCTAACTCTAGGGTGTATTTAGTTTGGAAAAGGAGGTTTAGAGACATGCGATATTTACATGCATTCACATATGAGCGTTCTCGACTCAAATTGCTACCTTCAGTTGTATTAATTTTGCAATCTTAACATTATAAGTGCATACCATTCGCGGTCCCACACACCGCGCTCTTAATGAATTTCTTCGCTCGCTTCGTGACAGTAATTACGACGCACAGAAGTCCATCGGGGTATTATCATTAAATTATCGTTTTAAAATACGAGCAGTAATTACGCAGCGGGACTCGGCACCCGCGCTGGCCTGGGTATTATTGGACACCTCGGCGCATACCGCCGTTGACACAGCATTCGCATTACCTTAACGAAGCTGNNNGGGCGTGGGTGCGAGGTGTCGGTGTTGCGGGGGCTTCAATCGCTCACACAGCCACGCCCTCCCGCACACACAGCTCCTTTCCACTCTAAAAGCCCCTTCCAAAGCACATTTCGAAGGCAGATGAGAGCAGATTGTTCACTTCTCGTTGTCCACTCCGGAATTGGACTATCGCCCTCGCTTTTTTTTAATTTAAAAAAAGATAATTTAAATATAGTTTTCTGATCTTAATTTGTATGATCATATGAGTAGGTTAAATATATTACACCTTCCCGACAACAGGAATTCGGAACTTTAAGTCACGTGCCTCTGTGTAAAAGAAGGTACTCATTTGAACACGATTTCTTTGGGAATGTGTTCTTTTCTTGCGGTTCGATTCCAGTATCGATTCTGACCATTCGATCCCGATTCTATTTTAGAAAACGAATGTCTCTAACTGAATTTGACTTCAGAAGAAAACGAAATTAAAGAGCTAAATGATTGAATGAATGTGGGGCAATGGGCGACGGCCGTGTACGCTTGGGGGCGACATCGACAACAAAACATCGATGTTTCGAAATATCGATGTTCAAATAATTATAAGTCGATATGCATTTAGTAACCCCTAACATTCTTGCAATTCCTTGCATTCACATGCAAGGGAAAATGGCATCAACGTGGTCGTGTTTATTAAATTATAATTAAAATTTAGCTGACTAAACTAAGTCAAATATTTCTCAGAATAATTATTATAACTTTTCTTATCTTACTGAATACTACAGAAAATGAATACACCACATTTATCAACAAGCATTCTAGTATTTTTTTTCACATTTGGTGACTTGTCTCAAGAATGTTTAAATTACAGATATTTGAAAACTATTGTACTTTATTGTAAATATTATATTTTTCAATCAAAAATAAAATATCAACCAAGAAAAAACATCGATCTCAAAACATTGATGTTAACAAAATCGGCATCAATAAATCGACGTTGAATACATCGATGTCAGTTCATCGACGATATCGATGTTTCGGAAACGCGGCATCGCTGGCGTTGGCGCTGAGCGGCGCAGGCGCATATCGCCCCCAACGCCTCCCGGAGCCGAATTGGGCCTACGGTGGCGGGTCGCGCCACTCGCGGGGCCGCAAACCGCCCCAACGCGACGGCAGCCGCGTGTTGCGCGCTGCAGGGCGCGCGTCTTTATCTCCGCTGACTAGTCGACGTTCCGTGCGCACTTTACGCCGCCAGCCGCCGATAACTGCGCTAATCCCCGCTTCGATGCCGGACTTCCGCGGGGGGCGGGGGCGTCGGCGGGCGAGGGGCGAGGGGCGCGGGGCGGAGCGCAAGCGCTTAGCTGGAAAGATCGGCCAATGGAAAGAGCGAATACACCCCGGCGATAACTACTGGTTGCGTTGCAATGAGTTAAATGAACAAACTTTCCGAAGACCAACCTGACAACGGAGACTAGATAGGGTGTGACATACCGAAACCCTCCGTCGTCTTTCTCTGGTGAAGTCCAAAATCTGAATAGTGTAATTATTTGAGGGTAACGTAACAATTTAAGGACTATGTATTTTAAATATTACACAAATGTGCGTAAAGAAAAGGGTGGACAACAATAATGATGTAAAATATTTCAGTAACACGCAGAAAAGTAAGGAACGGTGTTACCTCGTTCCAAAACACCACCGATTCCACAGTCCAAACGCATGTGAGTTCAATAGGAATAAGCTGTCACGTCTTTAGGCCATTTTCATTCAAAACGAATATATTTCCACACATTCTACCCCCAGATGATGCTAGATCAGTATGAAGCAGGTGTGTGATGATGTGTCGGGTCAGGGGAACTGGCTAAACTCCGTACCACTCTACCCCCAGCTCCCACACTTCTGACTGCTGTGGCAAAGTTTCACGATTTATGCACGGTTTTGAGCACAAAACTGCGTATATTTTCCAGTCACCTGCACTACTCCTAAACATTTCAGGAACGGCTCTAAGAGACTTTACATTTGACGCACATACCAAGTTAGAGCTTCTAATCCGTTAGAATTATGCGTAACACCGCCCATTCGTTCGAACTTCACCGTAAAGGCAAAACGTTTCCGGTTCGGGGACCGGCAAACGTCATTTTACCATAGAAAATCCCGATCTTGAATATTTCAACTGAATCCAATACTTGCCTTCGCAATACATATACCCGACGGCAAGTAAAAATGTATAGGCCACAGCAGTCAGTATTTACAAGGAACGCGTTATTGTCAATCGAGGTATCCACCGCCAGAGAGCAGCAGAAACGGATCCGGAGTGACGGGGGAGCCCGGTGGCGATGAAGGCAGCGGCTTCGAGAGCTCGGGGACACTGCAAAGACGCGCGCGGAGCACGAGAGCTGTAAATGGCAATCGACGCCGCAAAATCGGGGGCTCTAATGCGATTACCAGCAGCAAATTACGAAGTTTTTTTTCACACTCTCTTAGAGTGTTGACTCCCGCCGCCGACAGCCAGAACGGATTCTGCAAGACCCGCCTCTCCCCACCCTCCGGCGCCGCCAACAGCTGACGATCGGTACCCGTAATGAGATGATGATAGCCTCTCCGAGGGATCCCTGATGCTGGCCATTGACAGGGAGGTGAGGGGAAGCGAGACGGGAAGTGTCAATAAATCAAAGCCCTCCCCACGTCCTACAATCATCCTCTCGCTTTTCCTGGTGGAGGCCCCTTCTGCGTTCCTGTGACCACTGACTGCGCCACGTTCCCAAGAATACTTTTGAAAGGCGTATCTTTTTGCTTACTGAAAATTAAGTTGCGCAAGTTCAGTAACCGATAATATATTTTATATAATGCTTTTACAACGCGCAAAATCACAAAATACTGCAAATTTAGTTTAAAAGAATCGTTTCAACGGGTGTGGTGAAGCAAATATTGTATTGCTATGATATTTTTAAACGTAACCCATCCCTGTTTTTAATAAATGTCGAAAAAGAATAAACATTAATCTACTTGTGTACAAGCATTATTTTCGAACAGTAAAATTAAGAATAGTTTATCTATTGTAATATCTGTAGACATCTTTCTTCCTATAATCTTCCTAGTAACTAACAGAAAATTAGTGAAAAAATTATACATACAAAAAAAATCACTCCGCCCACACCTGTTTGGAACATCATTACAGTGGTGGAAATTACAGATGTTTTATTAATACATTGTGCTCGATCCGGAAACGCATCGTAGAGCACACCATGTCGGCAGGTGAATTCAAAAATTGGAGGTTCACAAAAACAATGAGGTGGGAGACTCCAATTTTCTTCGTGAAGAAACCCAGCAACCCGCTTATCCCATCGTGGAAGACATAGAGCGCTAGTCTTGCTTAATTTTCATAAAATTGGCAATGCTGGAAAAACTACTTTAATTCCTAAGTGTCCTGTCTAAAATAAATCCACACTAAAATGTGTTTAAGAAAATAATGCTTAAAATACTTTAGGACATAAATGCCTCCCAAATAAATAAATGACCCAACACACGAAACACCAGTGCAGTTTCTACCCGCAATTCAAAGCTTCCTCATCAACTTTGCTCACGCCTGGTCTCTACGGAATATTGTCCACAATGCACACTGCGCAAAAGTGATCATGAGGACACTCCCGGTCCTTCGTGCTACCACCCTGATTCACCCCCGCTCAGATTTTAGTAACTGATATCAAGGAGCTTTATACCTTTTAACGCCTCTGCCGTACGCGCGCTGGCAGTACACGGTCAATCTTCGCCTACGCTTGACCGTTTATAGCGTTCGGTGACAACCTCCAGGCTTGCGGCGAGCGAGTCGCTTGTTCTCTTTCATCTAATTTGCGGTTATTAGAAGAAAATTGTGTTGCAATTGTGTCTCAAGAGAATATGCAACAAAAACTATGCATATTACAAATAAGTTTATAATTATTCGCGAGAAATGTTACTTGCGATGCAAACATCTTACATATGTCACGAGCCGACATGAAGCTAAACCACTCGAAGACGTTGCTCTCTTTAATACATAGGTCTCAGCATATGACATACTCATGCGGCAAGTTCTCTAATAATATTTTTTAATACACAGGTTTCCCAGTTTCTCTTGAAATGCTTTTTTCAGACGTAAGAATGCAAACGGTCGGATTTCTCATTATGACCTACTTAATAAAACAGGTAAACATTAATTTTCTACTCACGGTTAAGTAATAATAGTCCCGAGTTTATTACAACCGCAGAATTATAACTCCACATTTTGCTTGCATAAATGGTATTAAATGATCAAAACAGTTTCTTGTGGCTTTAAAAAAATTCTGGCTTTAAAAAAGCTTCTTAATAGACTAAGGTAATATTATTTGTATAAGATACTTACAAGTGAGTCGACTTCGGGGTCTGCTATGTAGTAAGGCTTTTCTTGCCGAATCTGCAACATCAATAACAAAAAAAATAAGGAATAAAGTAAATCCTAAAATAAAATTACTATTGTATAATTGCACAGAAATAAGTGTACTCTTACTCATAAGGATGAAAGTGAAAAATAAAATGCATTGTAGAGCATATTTTTTAACACATTGGCACTATCAACGAGGGGCAAAATTATTTTATAAATTATTTCTATCCTACAATTAAATCTCTACCACATACTATTTACACTTTATAATTGTAATACGCATACGGCATTGAAACTTCCCACAAACAAATAATAATATAAAATAAACGTTAAAAGTTATTCGACTGCACCATACGTAGCCAAGTCCTTGCATCCCAACTCGTTATTTATGGTCACCCACCATCCCAGGAGTTTTATTGCAATAATTAAAGCTTCGTTTGCATCTAGAACCCGAAGCGATGGCCATGATTTCGGATCGCAATATGACAAGTTCGTTGTTTTTAGCTGTCAACAGTTCACTGACATGCCATTAAAGTGAGATTCATACGCGTTATCTCTTATCTGATCGCCTGGCATCGCTTCGGAGCGTACAACACGCCGAGCGGGTGTTATTGCGCATATGCGTTATTGCGCTCGCGACCCCAATCGCGGGGGCGAGCAATTTTATGCTCACGTCGGCGCCCGCGGGCGTCTCCTGCGGTGCGTCTGGCGGCGCCCGCCCAACCGCCCAATCGCCTAACCGCCCACCGGCGAGCGGCCGAACGCGCGATTCTTCTACACCGCGCACTTCGGGCCTCCGAACGCTTAAGCACGATCTCGGCGAAATGATTTGGCAGCGGCACAACCGTGAGTTTTCTTGCGAAGGATACATGCAGTGTGCAACCGACTCATGTTTTCTTAGAAATGAGTTTCCATTAATGCTCAATTGAAAATGTGTTTTCATTTGTTGATTAATAGTTAAAATGTGTTCAAATGTTAGGTTTGGAATGACTTTCGTTATTATAGTAAATATTTTATTAAGTGAATTTGAATCATCAACTTTTGGGGCTGCTGAAGGCCACTATTGCCCCCCCCACACACACACACACACACACACAAGCACGCACGTAGCTCGGGTGCCTCACTGTATACAATAGGGAATTGAATCAACACGACTTGTATATCCATTTCACTAAATAAATCCTTTGGAATTATCTTACACTTAAATATTTTCTCAATTCGCCAACATAAAGAACTCTAATGATGCGAAATAGTTTTTTACAAATAATATAAAGATTTTATTTAAAACATTTACAAATTGTTTAGCACCGCCTCACAAATTTAATGTTTACAAATATTTGATAAAAAATATCCTATTATTCCAGACTGGCAAGAATTTAGCATTTATAAAAAAGGTCAAAAGGGAGAAATTACAAATCAGATGCCAAACAAATAAAGGAAATGAATTAAAAGTTAACATGAGTTAATGAGAGCTTATTAAAAATGTGTAGCTGTATTGAACATCAGTTATCAAGAATGAAAAATCTTTACTACATAGCCTAAACAACGGAAGAGAATCAATATATAAATAATTAAGGTTAGTAGAGATATCAACCACAAAGTAGTTGATAACAATAACAATTTTAATAAAAAGAAAACACAGCAATACACGTGTTTGAACGAACAAATTCGCAAATAGCATATGAATCAACAAAGCAATACAAATAATCACTGTAAAATTGATATACATAGAGTTCATACCTAAGTAAGTGTGTTTTCTTTTTATTAAAATGTATATTGTAATAAATTACTTTGTGGTTGATATCTCTACTGCTCTTCAATTAATTATCATGGATTACCACAATATGTCCGCAGCCACCACGGAAAGAACAATACAATTTTTCTAGCATGATCTGCAACGTTTCTTTGCAGTATATATAACAAGGCATGTGGTTAGAGTCGCGACGAAATACCACCCGGAAACTATCCATCTTCGTGATAATTGAAATGAGTTGTTTCTTTATTTAAATATTCATTTTCACATTGTGGCTTTCAGGAACAAACATACCGACTTGAATCACGGAAGCCGAAAAACTCTTCTTTTAAAAAACTGCAAAATCCATAAATAAAATAGGAATAACGTTTGCAAGCTCCATAAATATACTTTACTGGCTTCACCCAAAGAATCGGTGAGCTTTAATCAACCATCATTCATTCAGAACACTTCGTAATAAAAAAATATTTATACGGTTTACAAAATCTTACATCTTCGCAAATCAAAGACATGTAAAAAATTGAAGTAAGGTTTATTTTATAATCGATGAGCTATCATTTAAAAATATATAAACTGTATTCGATTTGAAGACGCATAGTTGGTGTTTTACTTATGAGTTTAGAAATGTAATGAACATGTATTTGCAAGTAACAAAGATCACCTTGTAATGAGGTTCTTGTAACACTGAACTTACAAACAGTAGTCGCACATATGTGTTAAAGAAAATTACTTGAAGCATTGAGCACATTCAAACATGAAAAAAAAGAACAATTAAAAAAAATATTAAGAATATTGTGGTTTAACGGTAGCGAAGTATCAAATTCGAAAAGCTTGTGGTTAGTCGTAGCTTCTACCGCTCAGTAGTGAGTTTCTATCAAGTTTCCGAAGGCTGTTGACAAAAAACGGCCTTCAATATACTTTCTGCCAGTAGCCATCTCACACTGAAATGTAGTAACATAAGGGTTTGAAGCAAATCCTCAGGACAATTTACTCCTTGCTTGACTAATATTTCATAGACGAATATCCAATGCATTAATAATTAAATCTAATACCACAAAAACTATTAGTGTAAACAATCTTCGATATATTTTCAATTCTTCACATTATAAGAAATATTTTATTCATATCATTACAAAACAAGTGTGAGTGATGGATTATCAGTTATTTCTGGAAATACGTTGAAAAGCTTTGGATGCTTTCAAATTCAAGTTTTCATTTGAATAAGACAAGTTAGTTCACATGAGAAGAAATTAATCATGATGGCTGACCAGCATGAAACATGTTTAATTAGAAATATCACCATTACACTTTCAAGGTTCCAGAACAAGCTTTATTGCAAATGAATGAAAAGAGTATTCCTGTCATTCGGAATGTTTACTTCTAAGAAAACATTGCTTTGTACAAGTGTAATGTAGATCTGCAAACAAGACAGTCAGTCCGCATGTAACTGGATGTGTGATCTTTGGAATTCCTTCATGCTAAAAACCTATTTAACCGAGTATCTCAAAAATCTCAGAAGCAAAATCATTTCCCACTTTCCCTCGTACAATCACATCATCATGTAAATAATGAGTTTTAAACATTCAAAATTATTTTTATAAGCAAAACCTTACTTCTTATATTAGTTTTTCGTGCAAGTTTAATACTGGAGACAACTGGCAGTTGAAAACTATTCTAGGCAGCATAATACTAATTGGGCTCTCCAATTTGGCCTACAAATTAACAATATTTTGTCAAAAAATAAAAACTGAGCAAAAAGTAAATCGGTAGTTCGGTTTTTGGGAAACAATATCTAGTTTTAAAGCCCTCTCATAATGTTCCCTGGTATTTAATGCTTGTTATAAAAATTCCCTGACGTTTCCAGCGCAATGAAACCCCCTGAATTTTCCCGTATTTCCATGCTTTCCAGAAAACGTCCACCCGCAGTCGTCTTTCAGAGAATAGCGACGCGCACAGCCAAGACGTGTGGGTGGCAGGAGCGTCGTGTGCTGCGAAGGGCTGGCAGCATGGCGACGTCCAGTGGCGCAGCGTGCAGCCGGGGGGGGGGGGCGGTGTGTTCGGGTGGGGGAGAGGGGCGCGGAGGAGCACGCCGGAAGATTAATGAGGTGGCCCGCCGCGCCCGCGCCGCGCGCCCGGCGGTCGCTGTTCGCTTGGCGGCCGCGGTAGGACCACCGCGCGCTGCGACGCATCGCGACGCGAAACGACGCCGACGGCGCTGCGAAGAACGCCCTGCCCGTCCCGAGCATCCACGCCGGGAATCACCCGACTGCATCCAGCCGTTAGTTGTCCCTCATCCCAGATAATCCCCTTTCACTTTTCGTTACCTGAGAAGGAATCACCCGATTCCATCCCGTTTCGTCTCAAGGTTTCGGAAGGATAAAACATTTTTTGTCTACTTTGCATTCATATATATTATATTCACATACCACACGCATATTAGATGTTTTTGCACGAGAGAAATCCTCGAACACAGGTGGACATGACAGAATCTTCGGAATTGTGTATGTTAAGTCAGCGAGATAAGATGATCGTGATAGGAGGTGCCAAGTTTGGTTTACGCGAATGTTTAAGGGGTGGTTTTCAACGTTGGTTGTGCTCTAAAAGGTCACGCAAATATTTCTTGAAAACAGGCAGACGTGGATCAATTGTAATGGGATTCTAAGCAGACTATCGATCGCATCTAGAAACGCAGAAATCAATCCTCATACTAAAGAAGAAAAGAACGCGATGGAGTATGCCTTTTTGATGAGGAAGTAGGTAAATGGATTAGGAAAAGTTGACGGCGGGATGCCGTCGGGATAACCTGGTGGAAGCGCCCGAGCACCAGGCAACAAGTTTCCGCATGATGCGCTTGGGCACACTGCAGCGGCGAGTACCCCAGTGATAGCGGAAGGCGTTTTGTGATGTATTCAAATCCTCGAAGGACGACCACGACAACTTCGGTTATCAAGAACAACTTTGAATTTAATTTCAAGTGTATTATTTATGTAATAAAAATAGCAAACAAAAAGCCATTTTTCAAAGGTAGCATGTTGCTGGAAAAGGCAAAGGTCGATGTAGCATTACTGACTCGAGGTCAAAGTATTAGTGGAGGTGCATTGGCTACATGGGACAGCAAACAGAACTGAACATGTGCTCAGACTTCTACTTCCCACAACTGTTATGGTTCGCGTAGCTAATCGGTCATTAAAAATTGCGTTAGGCCTAATTGCATTCTGCAAAAAATCCTAGCGAAACAGAACTGGCATCTGGTAACTTGTTTATCTTCAATGAATAAATG